TGTGCTATTAATTCACTAAATTACAACTTGGCTACGCGCACGAATTACGGGATAAGGTAAAAAGATTACGCCGCATACCTTCTATCCGTACCAACAACTCGCGAATACGTTGAATCGTACTCTCGATGAGGACAATATCGCGCGTGACTCGCCATATGTCTCTAGAGAGAATTCAGTGATGAGGAAAGGATGGTCAATAACAACTAGAAAAGTTCGAAGGGAAAAGGTCAAAGGTGATCGAGGCCCCCCGAACTTACCAAGATATCCTGCAGTAATTCGTGCTCGTCCAGGAGAATCACCTTGCAATGCAAAAGACGGGGCCTGTTGCTCCTGGTCGGCCTGAGTCCAGGGCATAGCCACTCTACCACCATCGCTTCCCTCCTTCCTTTGCCAAGGATTCAACTTTGTATATACCTGCGCTGGCTCCGTGCGTTTATCCACTCGTATTCGGCGCGTTTGAGTTAACACTCATTCTGAAAACACACGAAACATTCTGTCGTTCTCAATTCGCTTTAAATTAACAAGTTGTAATGTGCTATTACGAATCGTATATTATAAGGTACCAGCGCAATAAACTGTAGCTCAAATAAAAATGTCAAAAGTGCAGAGATCATGGATTCTGTCCCTCTGCATTCCTTATCAAGGATACCCAGATTTTACATTGATATTAATATAATATATACGAATAAAAAATTCGATAAAAGATTGACGGATAGGAATGGGGAAGAATTTCCACGAGAAGCTTTCAAGAGAGACTCGCGATCGCGTTTAAGACTCTACGATTTTCCGCGTGGATGTTATTCCAGCGACAGTTGGAGAATATGAAACTGTCATAAATAGCGGTGATCGGTCGGACGGTGTTCACTGTTTACCGTTATACTTTATAGTTACCGCTTGAATGGTGAACGATCTGCAATGAGCATAAGTCTCGGCGTGATAATATGTATCAGACACTCGATCATTCTGATTGCGCGTCAGTAACTTGAAGCGCGCGTCTTATTGAGGAAGGAGAAACTTGGAAAAAGTAGGTACAGATAAGTAAAATAAATAAAAAAACATCTCGCATTTATATGAAATGTGCTCTCGAGTCTCTCGAGAGGAGGCGGCTCCTATTACGCGGGTAATTGCGGAGGAGTCTCTCGAAACGTATAGCGGTATAGGTGAACCGAACATTCGCCGTTCGAGAATCGAGAGACACGTGGCGTCTCGCAACGAGAGACACGGGCGGGGATTCAAGTACACCTTTTGTCCTCGTGTATATACGAGCCGTCGCTTGAGAAAAATACTCGTACACACAATGTGGCCCAAGTGTGGTGCGAGTGCCATTGAACTCGGTGAGGAGCAGAGACGTACGGGCTTTGCGTAGTCGCGTCGAATGGAACTGGTTTCAAATCCAAGATCTCTCTCGCAATCGCGCTTGATATAAGAGAGATAATAGAAACTGATGAATCCTTTAGCCCAATTAAACGATTAACGAGGACGGCATCGCTGTTTTTTTCTGATAAGAGCAAACAGGAAGAAAGGAAAGAAGGAAGAAGATTTGCCGAACGTTTGGTAAATGTGATCGATGTCTTAGGCCCTTAAAAAAAAAAGAAGAAAAAGAAATCGACGTATATTATACTCTCGACACACAGTTGAGATACTTGTGTCTATTTTAATAGACACAAATTAATGTAGATTAACTTTAATCTCGATTTAATCTCGATTTATTTATTATTCTTTTTTAATTTTAAGAAAAAAAATTTTAAGAAAATTTGTATAACGTATATACGTATTATCGAGATTTAAATTGATCTATATTGGTAGAAATAGACATAAGAAGTAAAAAACGATAAAGAGTAAGTTAAATCGAGATTATAGTTAATATTAGTAAATACATAGACAGAAATAAGGAAAGATACAAGATAAGTTAAACGAAATTAATTTACATTAGTAAAAATGGACATGAATAATCCAATGATGCATCGGGATTCAGAAGTATATTACACGTCGAATCTTTTTCTCCTTTTTTTTTTTAATAAACATCGGTAAAATATTCATGTAAATATATAAATACGACGAGTAGATGGAGTTTCCCTTTCTTTCTCTTTTTTTCTTCGTTGACTGTCGCAAGCACATTGACTGTCGCCGTCTAACGATCGGTATATTAGCATAGAAATTCTCGCGACACCCGGGGGTCATTATTTATCTCGTAGATATTCCGGCGATGTTGAATGCTCTTGTAGATGAAAAATATAGTTAGATGTTTTATTTTTCACTTGACTCATCTTCCCTTTCACATACAATCCGGCATTCCGACGACATCGTCTAATTAGCGTGTGATTTGCATCGAGTGTAAAAACACGCGTGACTCTTTCACTGAAAAAGTATTTTCTGACACGTACTTCCGGTCTCGCAATTGAAAAGAGAATGACGCGAGAAACAGCGATGGCTAACAATAACAATCCTTTTTTTATTGAAATTATTATAAAAAATAAATAATTGTCGAATCAATAATTTTAT